ATGATTTTCTCAACTCAAAATAAATTTTTAAAGTTAAAAAATTGTAGTTTAATATTGATGGGTTTTTGCCATCCGTCAAAACTTTTGCCACCCGTCGAAACTTTCACAGTTTTGCCTTTAAGAAAAAAATTTGGCAAAACGTTTCGATGGGTTTCGATTTCGATGCCTATCGAAACCTCTGGGTTTTGCCCGGCAACCTTAAACATACCTAATTAAAAAGAATTTCTTTGAATCTTTATGGTAAATTTAACTTGAAAGTTTCTAAGTCTTTTTTTGATATTGTTTAGGAATTTTTTAAGAGGATTTTCTTTTATTAATTGTTTTATTTCTTTTTTTTAGGAGTAGATCTTTGATTGGAAAAGGAAGAAAGAATTGACCTAAATATTTTTAGGTTAAATGGATTAGGTCAGGACTAACCTGAAAATAATATCAGAACGGATTAATAAGATAATCTGAACTGATTTGATCCATTTATAGCTCAAATTACTGTATATTTCAAATAATAATTTTCTAAATTTAAACTAATTATGTCTGTTTATTTGTTAAAAGTTTGCATTTCATTATCCAATTTATTGTTTGTAACTAATAAAATTCTTTTTTTTCACATTAATTTTAATTATAAAATATTTTCATTATTTCTAAGAAAACCTATTGTATCAACAACCAATGGGTTATTATTTTTTATAAAAATTGCAAATAGTAAAATCTATAAGAAGTTTTCAAGACATGCTAAAGTTTGTTGCTTCATTATAACAGGTGAAGACATCAAATAGAATTGACAATAAAACTGATCAAACTATTTGAATGGGTTAAGTAAGTGTAAACCTTTATGACAAGTATAAATGGTATTATCATTATAAGATCTTTGTTTGAATTCAGTGTGATGATGTGATAATAACACATGGAATCTAAAATTATGTATTAACAATTAATGATTGAAGAAGAATGTCATTCACAAAAAAAAAGAAAGAATACTTTTGGTAAAGTTTTTAATATACATAATCTTCTCTGATAATTTTTTGAAGTATTTATTTATTTTTATTTGCCGGATCCAGATACGAACCTAAAAGTACACTATCTGAAGAAAGTATTATAGGTAACTTGGAAAGATTTAAAAGTGCAGACTTAAGTGAACCATTGAGGTAGCCATTATTTATGAAGAAGTTATAACTCTCAAATGGATATTGCTTAAGTAAATAAAATAAAACTAAGCACAAGCTATAACAATCTATATTTGACAGAAAAATATTAATTGAATATCTTACAAATAATCAAAAGTGGAGTTATTTAACTTTTATATTTATGACAATACTGTCATATAATATGGTTAAATTTTCCTTTATCGGATCGGTTATTTATAATTATTATTTTAATTTTTTTATTTTTTTTATTTAAATGATACAGTATAATAAATAAATCATAGTTATCCATTTCATGTAGGTTGCATTGTAATCAAAACATCATTGTCGTAAAAGATACTTATTCATCATTTCATCCAAGATCAAAATAATAAATATCATTTTCATCTAAAAATCTTATCATATCACTATACAGTATCTTAAAAATATCACTTTAAGATTTCATTAATTAATTATTTTTTTAGTAAATATTGATCATATTAAATTATTATCGATCATTTGATATACTTACGAAAAGTAATAAAGGTATAAATATCAGCCCGTCGTGCCTTTATTCAGTTTACAAATCTACACAAACAAGTAAAATAAAAGAATAACGAAATAAAATGTTCTTGAAATCCATTTTTATTGCAATATCAGCATTGCAGCTGATTAAAAAATTCCTCAAGACTACAGGATTTCATAAGGATGGAATCCTTCCAGGTAGTTTTGTGGAGGGTATTAAAGCTAAATTCGGAGGCAATATTTTTTTCTGTGTGGAATTCTTGTGTGTTCGATTTGTGAGATACTTTGATCTGGTAAGAATTATAATAAGATAATTTTTTTTTAAAAAAAAAATTTCTGAATTTAGTTATTTTATTGTAATTATTTTCCAGGAAAATATCATTCTCTTCTTATTAGAAAATGCTTCAGTTATTGTAAATAAGTTGAAAAATGGAATTAAACGACTTGGTTCTTCTTTTAGAAATTGGTGGGGGTATTAAATAATAATTTCGTACTTGAATTTGAATAATCTCAGAACCGATAAGTAAATTTTCATGTCGATATAATTACAAAGGCGCTTTTCAAGAAAATTAATTTCTCTGAAATAATTGTATAAAGGTTTGAAAATTTTTTAAATATACGTACAGTATGTTCCTTGCTATTTTATAATGATGGAAATTCAAACCACTCACATATTACCAATTTTTCTTAATAAAATAAGTTGATATAAAATTTAAATTCTCAATATGGTTCATTAAAATCTATTATGATATTCATGTGATTGCAAGTTAATAATGAAAAATATCTCAAATTTTTTTTTTTTTTTTATTCATAATCTAAAATTTCATTTGCTTGAAGAATCAAATAAAGAGTCTCATTGCGAAGGTGCACTACTTTGAAACATTTTAGATCCTACGTTTCAGCGTAACCATTATAATTTATCTTATAATTTCGAGAGTTACGTTTTTTTTAATATCCTTCGACAATTGTTAGGGTTGAACACCCGAGAATCTTCAAAAAATAATACCTTATGTTTGACACAATTTTATTCAACTTATAAATTTGAAATTTAACGAAACTTGCCTTTACATTATCAATCAAATTTAAGGTATTTTGAACATTTTGATTCACCGAAAAATCTTTAAAATTGCGCAGCGAATTACTCATGATATTGGTGTTAGTGAAATACTATGATACAAGCCCGTTGCACGCTACTATTTGTTTACAATTTTTTTTTTTGTTTTCTGTTTCTGAACAGTATATTAACGCTCAAAACGATACGATAGAAAAATCAGGTTAATAGGTCAAAGGTAATGTGCATTCCTCTTAGCGAAACGATATTGAAAATGATGGTTTAAATTTTGAATCTATAAAAACTTAACTTATAAGTATACAAGTGATTTCTTTGATAGAAATGACCTACTACAATTCTTAAAATTAAAATTTTGTCATATTTTAAAAACTTTCATAAAATTATTAAATATAAAATTTTCAGTTTCAAAGCAAAATTACTTCCAATATCAAATGTAACCTGTAATCATCCGCAATATTATCATGAAAAATTAAATTAAGCATGATAAATAATTTCATTATTAAAATGATGACAAGTTCATAAAATCATTAAATTGTAACGGTAAAATATGTCCCGTCAATTTTATGTTAATGCAAAATAAAGAGATTGTAATTTTACAGCTAACGATCTCTTAAAACCTTATTATGAAGTTTTTTATTATTTTAAGAATTATTGATAAATCCTGAAATTCGAGTTTAAATTGTTCATCTTAAGATAAGTATTAATTTTTTTCTTCATAAAAAAATAAAAATAAAAAAATATTTTGCAGTAAAATAATTGTTAAAACTTTATTTAATGTTAACTCGCTCGTGAAATTTGATTGGATAATTCAGTAATTACGTGACTTTCGGGGTATTTTAACGATGGATTGATGATCAAATAAATTGTGCATTAGGCGATTTCGGGAAGAAGCTAGTTCTCAGGAGGGCTAAATTTACATAATAAAATGATAGGATTGTTGTCGTCAGATGCTTTTGCTGAAACATCAGAGGTTTTAAACTTTTCTCAGGACTAAACTAGAAAAAGAGGAATCAAAAAATAAATCCAAAAAATAAATTTTTCTTTAAAAATAGTTATTTTTTTTAAAAAAATTCAAATCCTGGTTTATTTACTTGTTTCTTAAAGAGATTTCAACAAAGTTCTAAAAGAATTTTATCGAAGCATGACTGAATTAGATTTTTAGACTAAAAAAAAATTTTGACACATTGTTTTTCCACGATGTGTCGACCGTACGTATTCTTTTTTTTCCTGTGAGTCTATATATTTCGTCATCATAACTAGCCACCAATCTATGTATAAAAGCTAAAAAAAAAAAATTTTCTACTCGCTCTTAAATGAAAGTATAATGACAACAATATGAAATCGTTAGTGATACCGGCTCAGAACTCGACTGGTATTGCAGGAGTTTGTTGCCCTTCTGAACGAATACACGCAGGAAGAATCGAGGGAGTGGTGGTTACCCAAAAAGTTGCGTTTAATTTTTGTTTGTTTTATTTTTATTGCTATAATTATTACTAACTTTTTTTATTAGGGCCGATTGTGTCGTTTCGGATCCGAGCTTGTGGAATGGATCTTTGAGAAGAATGAGACTCGGCTCATGGTATTCGGTATAGATGTTAGTGTCGAGAGTTATGAAGCCGAAGAGCTTACAAAGGACTTGCTCTCAATCGTTACAATATTTGTGGCAAGACATAATGGAATACGTTCAGCCGCCAACCGCTGAAGCTCTCCAAGCCCAAGAAGATCAAGAATTCTAAGACCCCAGCAGGCAAAACACAACGTATCCTCTTTCTTGCACAAGAAGAGCGGTTGAAACTTAGAAAATGGATAGGGACAGCACGCTGGACATTCAATCGATGCCTTCCGGCGGTCGAAAAAGAAGGTGTCAATCGAAATTGCGAGCACGATGTCTCAACGTTGTAAACTTTAATAATAATACAAAACTTAAGTGGGTTACAGAAACATAAAAGATCTTTATATTTATTTTAAATATTTTGTATACAATAATATTTAAAGAATAAAACTTTAAAATTAATTTATTCATTAAATTAATAATTTAATAGGAAGGAGTGATTGCTCTGGATCCAGTCGTGAGTACATTCATGACTGGTAGATAGAAAACCGGTACGGTACGGTACGATTCAAATTTCGCGAAAAATACTGAATGAATAACTATTGAATGGTGAAAATATGATATTAATAGAATTTATCGGCTATCCCTGACGTATGACAAAATTCAAAGTAATCATGACTCTATTAATGGAAATGTAACACAAACGAAAACAAACGATAAAGTTCATTCGTATACATAAAAAAATCCGTTGTCTATTTAATGATTGGCGCCATAAACTTGCCAAATGGCTGTGTCAAAATTATCGTATTATTTTTGTTGCCTGAGTTTAAGACACAGGGAATGGTTTTGCTTGGAAAACGACGGATTCGTTTTAAGACTTCACGGATGATGTTAACATGATCCCACTTCCGATTCCGCCAATATCTTCTACATAAGGTTCGTGAGCATCCAGGTGTCAGGTAATTGTATGTGCTGTGGTCATATCCATCGAAAATTGGGTGGATCTGTTGCCCCAGTTATGCAGCTGAGTTTGATCGGGGTTCGAAATATATTACTTCGCTATCTCACCCTTCCAAAACTAAGAGCCGGTTTATTCCGGCGCTGAGACCTACCTCCTGGGATCTTCATGATCCTTGCAGAACATGTACTGTATATTTCTTTCCTTATTGGGCATGATCGGAAATGTGAGGTTTAAATGCGCTGTAAACTATTAATCTAAAATTTTTTTGTTCTATTCAATCTCGGGGTTCCGCTTAATATCAATAACGGATACGAATCATCAACTTTATTTATTATTAAATTATGATCTTTTATTACGTCGATTTAAATTTTATAGAATATATTAAGGGAAGACGTTATAATGTATAAAATGATTGCGATTAAATGTATAGGAAAAAAACATTGGATTTTTTATCTTTGACCACTACTATAATTAAGATAACAAATTTATCTTATTATAAATGGTAATTTTAAAGAAATGAAAAAATAAAAAATGTGGCCCAAGTTGTATATGCACAAACTTACTTTCTTGGGCATAGTTAAGGGGTAGATTGATTAAATATGGGAAATTTTTTCTGTTATGCCAATGTAACCGAAATTGATTACACCGAAAATAATGCATAACGATTGTCATATGCGGGCCAAAATCATTATCATTCGAGCTAAAGTGCATTTTTTTTTTTAGGGAAGGCGTGAAATTCTCAATTTCGAACGGAAATTCTAATAGTCAAAATAATGCTTGAATCACGTAAACAAAAAAAAGAATGCAAATGAACAAACTTTATCAAGGAGCATCATCTATTATTATAATTAAGTAAATTAAGTAAAGGCAGTAGAACAGGATATGGGATATAGAAGCTTTTCTTCTTTAACGAAAATATAAAATAACAGTCAAATTAATCCTCACTCTTTGAATTTTTGACTTCTAACGAATTCATCATGCTATCAAAATTCCATTTCATTTTTATTATCGCTATATTACTTATTTCAATTGCTACAATTGCTCAAAGTAAAAATTTTTTATTATCAATTTTTACAATTTTTTTATTATGATTTGTTTCAAATGACTAATAATTAAAATCCTTTATACTACAGGCCGTATGTGTTTATTCTTTCTTTTTTTTTTAAAACAAAAAAAAATAATTGATGAAAAAAACTCACCCCATCTTGATATACATTATAGGAGAGAACAAGAAAGTTAAGACTACTCGCCGAGTCAAGAGAGCTCCATATAATGAAAGTTATAATGCACATCTGAAGTCTTATTATCACTACGAATACCTGCATATCGTTAAACATAATTTTCGTCAATTAATGAATCCAGTTTATATTTATTTCGGTCTCATTGTCAGGCTTAAAAATGATGATACAAATACATTTCCTCGAGATACTCACGACGGAAAATCCAACTAAGATTTAATTCATCCTAATGTTTTATATTGTTTAATTCTCTGCATACAATATTAAAAATACCTCTTTATTAGAAATATGCATCATCGATGCCGGAGCAGCCGGTATATTTACTTGCTACATTCATGCTTGGATGAACTATTTCATATTGTTTACACTCTTAACATACTTATATGCATCATTCCATCAGGTTTATACTCAGCTCTTCTCTTGAAAGAGACGAGAATGAAGGACATTACCATTCTTGAATATCAAGATCGTGTAATTTTATCACATTTTGCCGATCAATTTGCTGATCATTTATTCATTTTATCAACATAATAATATATGTTAAATTTTTACAAGTAGCTGCATAACATATTAAATTTTATCGAAATATAATTATTATTGGGTAAGTTATACTAGAAGCAACATTTTGCCAAATATTAATATAATTATATAACATA